ATACCTGCATCACAGAAAAGGTGGTCTACAGCAGAAATTTGAATGTTGTTGTTTTCCCTGTCTGCCAGGTTATCTGATAATGCCTTATCTGATTGCCTTTCCTGGTAGTCTGCCCATTCCTTTGAGATGGTGATTACCCAATTCCTGAGACAATGGGAAGGTTCCCCCACCTCCTCCCTCCTTGCAGAGAAAACATTTCGTCAGTATGGGAGTCAACACGGTTTTCAGGGCGGTCTTCCTGTGCTGCTCCAGACATGTGGTCCACACATCTATGTAGGCGCTTGGTTGGTACATTTATGAACATTTATTAGATATATAAGACCTTAAATTTTTTATTACACCCACCACCACCACTGAAGAACCAACAACTCAGGGGCTGCCCAGGCTTATGGAGAAAGGAGATAGAAACCTCAGAGGAAGGGGAAACATGGTGGTTGAGGTCAAGGAGATGGTTACCCTTTTGCCACCGTCATCACTGCAGCATCAACATCCCAAACATGTAGTATGTATGTATGTATGTATGTATGTATGTATGTATGTATTTCTAGACAGCATCTTAGAAAGTATAGACATCACCTTGCCAACAAAGGTCCTTATAGTAAAAGCTCTGGTTTTCCCAGTAGTGATGTATGGAAGTGAGAGCTGGACCACAAAGAAGGCTGATCGCTGAAGAATGGATGCTTTTGAATTCTGGTGCTGGAGGACTGCAAGAAGATCAAACCTCTCCATTCGGAAGGAAATCAGCCTTGAGTGCTCACTGGAAGGACAGATCCTGAAGCTGAGGCTCCAAGACTTTGGCCACCTCATGAGAAGAGAAGACTCCCTGGAAAGACCCTGATGCTGGGAAAGATGGAGGGCACAAGGAGAAGGGGACGACAGAGGACGAGGTGGTGGGACAGTGTTCTCAAAGCTACCAGCATGAGTTTGACCAAACTGCGGGAGGCAGTGGAAGACAGGAGTGCCTGGCGTGCTCTGGTCCAGGGGGTTACGAAGAGGCGGACACGACTAAACAACATTCATTCATTCATTCATTCATTTATTGTGTCCCTGGATTCACTGGGAAAAAATCTGGTAACCTTATGCTAACAAAGAGCTTTAACGTCACCCCCGGAGGCACACTCCATTTTCTCTCGAGACAGACGGATGCCAGCCACAACTATTCTTGTTTTGTAAACCGCTTTGAGGTGTTTACTGGTTTACAGTGGTCCCTTGGTTCTCAAACGCCTTGGCGCTCAAACAACATGGAACCCAAACACTGCAAATAATCTGGAAGTAAGTGTTCCGGCTTGCGAAGTTTTTTCGGAAGCCGAACATGCTCTGTTTTGAGTGTTACGCTTCCAACTTGAGTGTTAACGCTGAGGTCTGTCTGTTTTTGCTCTTCATTTTGTGTTTTCGGTTCTGCAGCTTTTTTTGTTTTTGTGACTGTGTGGAACCCGGTTCAGCTACCGATTGATTGATTGATTGATTGATTGATTGATTCATTGATTGTGTGACTGCAGTACATTGTTTATTGCTTTCATTTTATGGATCAATGGTCTCGTTAGATACTAAAATCCATGTTAAATTGCTCTTTTAGAGGTTGTTTTTAAAAGCCTGGAACGGATTAATCCACTTTGCATTACTTTCTAGAGGAAAGTGCGCCTTTGTTTTGGAACGCTTTGGTTCTGGATCAGAATTCTGGAACGGATTAAGTTTGTGAACCAAAGTACCACTGTATTTTACAATCGAACGGAACTGCAAAAGTCGCCGAGTTTTAAAAATGAAATAAAGGGTATTAGGCAATAACTTGTTTTTTACCCCGTGATCTTGAGAAAGCTGAGCCCATGTTCTCTTGAAAGGGTTACTCAACCCTTTTCCATCTCACGAGGAGGGTGGGGATCATACTTCAGTCTGGCCTGTTCGCAAGCAAACACTTTCGCCCCTCTCTGTCCGAACTTGACGCTCCTTGAAGGTTCAGACCAGAACATTTCCCTGTCGGCAGCACCTTGAATAAATGCAAGGACGCTCTTCACTCAGCCTCAAGAGGCATCACCAGACCTAAAGGAAGAAGTGAGGGGGAGGGAATCTTCAAAGAGGCAGTGTGACATAGTGGTTAGGGTGTTCGACTAGGCATGTCCAAAGTCCCTCTGGTCGGTTTAATCTGGCCCCTGTGGCAGTTTACTTCCTAGGGTACAGTCCTAAAAAAACATCGACAACCTTAATCCTAAAAAAAGCTCAACAGCTTCAACCCTAAAAAAACTCAACAACTTTCAATCCTAAAGAAGGTCCGGTAAAGTCAACAACTTTGTTTGGCCCTTTGTTCGGCCCTCACAGCCCTTCACTTCATCAAATCTGGCCCTCTTTGAAAAATGGATACCACTGGAATAGGACCTTGGAGAGATCAGATTTGAAATCCAGCCCACCTCACCCTGCCGGACCAGATTTAGGTTTGATGAGGCCCTAATCTACTGAAGGCAATGGAGCCCTTTCTATGTCCAGCTGTCTTTTGTCGACAACAAATTGTTGCTGTTTTTTATGTTGAATATATGCTAGATGGTCATTTATGGACCTCACAGGGACATAGCTGTCAAGCGTCCCTTATTTGGTGGGAAACTCCCTTATCCCAGCACCGTGTTCTGCTGCTGTCCCTTATTGATGATGTCCCTTAAATTTCCCGGGTTTCAAAGGAAGCAGCTGCTCTCCCTCCCTCCCTCCCTGCTGGCCAGGGAGGAGGGAGGCTCCAGCTGTGTTGCTTGGCTGCGTTGCTCACCCAATAAGGAGTCTAAGAACGACTGGCGGGTGGAGCTTGCATGCCTTGTGCCGATCAAATCGGCCGCGTTGCCTGGGGACTCGCCTTTGCTCAGCGCTTCCCAGCGGAGAGGGGACGGTGGTTTTCCTTGCTGCATCCCCTTTGCCGGGTTGCTGCGCTGTGGGAACCACCGCTTGAGGCTTTGTTTGGCTGCTGGCTGGGCTTTCTGCCTTTGGCTCGGAGGGGCTCAGAAGTTGAACATACCTGTGCTGGGAAGATCCCTTATTTTGGCTGCTGATCCCTTATTTTCGAGGCTGCTGGTCCCTTGTTTTCAAATCTGTAAATTGACAGCTATGCACAGGTATCTCAAGCCATTTGCATATGTTTGCATGCAACCAGTCCATGCAGAATGCCGGCACCCTATATATAGAAAGGAGCAAACCAGGGATATTTTAGGGAGCAGCCGAGCACAAAATGTGTCAGGATTAAAGGAACAAGAGCAAAACATAAATAATACGCTCCTCAAAAAACCCACACATTTAAAAGGGCATAAATGTGAATAGGCCACAGCTAATTAAGACGTTAAAAACCCAACTCTATGCAAACAAAAGTCAAGCGCACCAGGTTTGAGAAGCCATGATCAAACAACTTATTAGCACAGGTGAGTTGTGCAACTTCCAAATACAATATTGCAGGGATTATACTAATCTGTATTGCAAAGATTAGGATTCTGCCCTGTCCTCGTTGCTTAATTTTGGAGGGAAAGATCAAAGAAGCAGGGAAAATTTCCCCCTTACGTCTGTGAACTTAATCAAGGCACAACCAAGCGTTCTTGTTGGAACCCTGTTTCATCAGATAATTTTTAAAGAAATCCCAGTGCGCAGACATAAGGGAAAGTTCATTTATCATAACCATTGAATACAGACTACTAAAAACCAAGAGAAATATAGATACCACAAAAGAGGTAGATGGAAGTCAAAAGGATATAAATAAGGGACACAAACTGGTATAGAGGATCGGAAAGAATGGGGAAAGTAGAAAAGTTTAAAGACGGAAGTCAATTCTTTCTAGGAATTTTGCGTACAGATTATTTAAAATATGGTTTGTACTCCTAAAATGATTCTGTGTATTGGAAAAATGTGTGTTTTTGTGTTGTTGTTTTTTCAGTTTTCTGTTTTGTCTTTTTGGGGGGTCTTTTCAAATCTTTATTTTTCACGATTTTGATTTGTTTTGATAATGCACAGCCATTAAAGAATTTTGGAATAACATCTATAATGAATTTTAAAAAACTATTTAACTTTTCATTTAAGAAAAAACCTGACGCCTCCCTCCTGGGAATAATGTCACCAGAAATAAAAAAAGAAAGGAGACCACTTTTTATGTACACAGCAGTAACAGCCAGGATCTTAACTGCAAGACACTGTAAAAGCGACAAAACACCTACAATAAATGAGTGGCAGGTCCAAATGATAGAATATCTACAGATGGCCATGATGACAGGGAGAATTAGAGGTTACCCAAAACAGAAAGTACAGAAAGAATGGAAAATCTTTAAAGTGTACCAGGGAAAACATTACAATAACAAATATCTCCTGGCAGAAATAGAATGATCCTGGTAAAACAACAAATATAATGTTTTTTGATATCTGACGAAAACAAAGAAAGCGAGACAACGATTTGGAACTGTGTGTGCAAAAATAGTAGAAATAATAACACAATGAGTCTAATCGGAAGTCAAATTTGTTTATTTTGTTTTCTTTTTCTTTTCGTTTTCTTTTTCTTTCTCTCTTATTCTTCCTCTTCTTTTTTCTTTTTTGTGCCTCCTTTCTTGGTCTTCCTCTCTTTGAAAAAGAGATTAAAAGTGTAATATGAAAACTTCAGCAACTTAAAGGTGATGCTGTGTAATTTTTCAATTACTATTTATATATTGTTAACCAATTTTAACAAATTGGAATGAATTGATGTAGCAATTACTGTGGTTTTTTCCCCTTTGTTATTGTTGAATTCTAAATAAAGATAATAATAATAATAATAATAATAATAATAAAGGAGATGCCTGCATTGCATGGGGTCAGGCTGGATGACCCTTAGGGGTCCCTTTGGGCGAAATCTCCCCATTGGCGCGGAGCCGCCACACTCTCCAGCGCCCTCACCTGCCACTCCAAAGGTGGCGCCGGGCCAGGTACGGCGACGCACGCGCGCCATGACGTCACTGGAGGGGCGCGGACCTCCCCTTAAAGGGCCCGCAGCGCGGCAGGTGAGAGGAGCTTCGCGAACAGCTGGGAGACGGAGGGGTTGCGGAGCGGGATCGCCCGAGCGCCGCCTGACACACCTGGGCTCAGGTGAGCAGCAGCAGCAGCCGCAGCAGCATCTGCGGGACGTGTGTGCGCGGGGAGGGGGGAAATGGGCGGCAGACACGTGTATGCCTGCGCTCGTGTGAATGCGAAGTTGCGTGTCGCGGGCAAGAGATGGGGAGAAAGGGTATTTCCCACAGGAAGGAAGGTGTGTGTGGTTTTTTGTCACGGGAAGCGTGCAAGGCAGGGAAGCGGGATAGGATAACAGAGCGAGCGTGCAAAGAAGAAAAAGAAGAAATTTAAGGCAAATCCGCCCTCTTTGCACGCCGGGCACAGACGGCAGCAGCGGCTCCCTCCGAAAGCGAGGGGCAAGGGTGTGTTTTCTGTAGGAAGCAAGGAGCAAAAGGGCAGCTCTTGAGCGTGCAAAGGGAAGGCAGTGTGGTGTTGCGGTTAGAGAGCTGGAGTAGGACCTGGGAGGCTTAACGCGGGGGCGGCCGAGCTCATCTTACTCAGAGTAGACCCATAGGAATCAATGGAGACAGTGTGGTGTAGCGATTAGACCGAGACCTGGGAGAGAGCAGGGTTCAAATCCCACCAGGAAGCTCCTCTCAACCAGGGGTTGGGCTAGATGACCCTTGGAACCCCTTCTCACCCTGCAATTATTCTTTGAGAGAGGAAGAAGAACTTTTCCCTACCTGCTTTCTCAATGCCGTGCACAATTTTTAAAATTCCTAACCTGTCGCCTCTTGCTTGCCTTAAGTCCCAAACGCCGCACTCTTTCGTCATAAGCGATTCGCTCCACCCCTCGATCATTTTAGTCGCCCTTTTCTGACCCCTTTCCAACTCTGCAATCTCCTTTTTGAGGTGAATTTCGAATGTGCACTCGCACATTCACAAACAATTCATCAACATAAGATCTCTGTGATCCCAGTCGGTCGAAGCAGCATCTTGCATGTTTTATACGAACAAATTTAATGCGAATCCGCCTTCTTTGCTAATCTTCTGCCCTCCAGATATTTTGGGCCGCAGCTGGAGCAAACTGATTAGTTGCTGCCCGCCTCGGTTTTCCTCCTCTGTAAAATGGGGGCAAAAGTTCTTATCTGTGTGGGTGGATAAATGCCAGGGCAGGCTGCTGTTCCAGATGCTTAAATAACATATTGCGTGTTCATTTAATTGAACTGGAGCCTGGAGCCAAAAACTTTATTGGGAGCAGGAGAGAAAGAGCAAAGCACATTTTTGGATGGTGGGAGCACATTTCTGAATGAGAAAGGATTATTATTTATTGGTTTATTAAATTTTTATTCCGCGCTTCATCCGAGGATCACAGGACAGTTCACGGCGTAAAAATACAAAATGGAAACACAAAAATGCATAGTAAAACAAAGGCAAAACAAACCAATTATCCGTCTCCCAATAATTTATTTCCATTTATTATTTGGTTATTACCTTATTTGTCTAGTTAAGGCAGCCTTTGCTAACCTGGTGCTCTCCAGATGTTTTCAATTAAGACTCCCACCAGTCCAGCTCAGAACATCTGGAGGGCAACAGTTTGATGAAGGCTGATTTAAGGCGTTTCTTCCGTGCTTCTCAGCCAAAAAGGTTTGCAACGTGACTTTCCTGCAGGCAATCCAAAGAACACAGGCTCACATTCTGAAAGTTGCAGTCCGAAAGGAAACTGGGATGGGGAGGGAAGAGGAAAAGCAGGAATCCTGGGTATCAATTTGCAAATTTACAAAGGAGCAACCAGCGGGAATGGAAACAGTTCAGAGAGAGGATGCTTTGAATGGAGCTGGTCTCTCAAGCACCGAGCCACTGAAGTGGTCTTGTTTGCCTTCTTTCATTAAAGGTAAAGGTAAAGGGACCCCTGACCACTAGGTCCAGTTGCTGACGACTCTGGGGTTGCGGCGCTCATCTCGCTTTATTGGCTGAGGGAGCCGGCATTTGTCCACAGATAGCTTCCGGGTTGTGGGACGCGGCTGGCGCTGTGGGTTAAACCACAGAGCCCAGGACTTGCCGATCAGAAGGTCGGTGGTTCGAATCCCCGCGACGGGGTGAGCTCCCGTTGCTCGGTCCCTGCTCCTGCCAACCTAGCAGTTCGAAAGCACGTCAAAGTGCAAGTAGATAAATAGGTACCGCTCCGGTGGGAAGGTAAACGGCGTTTCCGTGCGTTGCTCTGGTTCGCCAGAAGCGGCTTAGTCCTGCTGGCCACATGATCCGGAAGCTGTACGCCAGCTCCCTCGGCCATCTGGAGCAATCTGGAGTCAGAATTTGGAAGTGAGAAATGTGGGTGAGGCCAGCGGAGGCAAGGACACCAATAAGCTTCTCAGATCTGCGCCCCCAAATCCCGGAAAAGCATTGTCCTCCCAAAGGGACATTGCATTTCCTGGCCAGGTGAACAGCTTCAAGCTCTGAGTATTGTGTTTTAATTAAAGTGTGGCGCTGGGGGTTAAACCACAGAGCCTAGGACTTGCCGATCAGAATCCCCACGACGGGGTGAGCTCCCGTTGCTCGGTCCCTGCTCCTGCCCACCTAACACGTCAAAGTGCAAGTAGATAAATAGGTACCACTCTGGCGGGAAGGTAAACAGCGTTTCCGTGCGCTGCTCTGGTTCGCCAGAAGCGGCTTAGTTATGCTGGCCACATGACCCGGAAGCTGTACGCCGGCTCCCTCGGCCAATAAAGCGAGATGAGCGCTGCAACCCCAGAGTCGGTCACGACTGGACCTAATGGTCAGGGGTCCCTTTACCTTTTACTAGCTTCTGGGTCATGTGGCCAGCATGACTAAGCCGCTTCTGGTGAACCAAAGCAGCGCACGGAAACGCCGTTTACCTTCCCGCCAGAGTGGTACCTATTTATCTACTTGCACTTTGACGTCCTTTCGAACTGCTAGGTTGGCAGGAGCAGGGACCGAGTAACGGGAGCTCACCCCGTCGTGGGGATTCGAACCGCCGACCTTCTGATCAGCAAGCCCTAGACCCCACGTAGAGTGAGTTACAGTAATCAAGTCTGGAGGTGACCATTTGCAAGGATCACTGTGGCTAGGTCAGAGCGAGAAAAGTAAGCTAGCCTTTCCCACTGGGGAATCCCAGGTTGAAAGGTGCAGATCCGAGACCTGTGCTGTCCTCGGTCCTTGTCAGTCGCTCCTCCACCCTCCTTGGCAAATGTCCCCGGCCGCCCCATGGTCCTGTTGAGCAAGGAGGCTGTGACGTCTCCTTGCAGGCTCCTCCTCTGTTGCAAGCCTAAAACTGCTCTCTCTTCACCTGAACAAAGTTGACAAACATCTCCTTTCTCCTGGACGGTGGATCAGCCCACACACTTGACAATCAAGTCTTGCGTCCAAGCAGGAAAAGGAGCACTACTCACAGGCAAGCCTCCCGGCTATCGTCATTGTGTCTCCTGGGCCGGACACTTCCTGGCAGAGTTCCTGCACATACACACACACACTGACCCCACAGTGAATGCCAAGACCTACTGGGGGCACCAGGTAAGTTGTATCAAGCACAACTTTGCTTGGCTGAGCTGGGAAGCTGCCTGTGTTTTCAGGTAGGACTACCTTTCCGATGGACAGGTGAGTGGAAACAGCTGGAATTGCCAGTTGTAGGTCGATTTGTCTTTGCGTGTGAGAAGCGCCTTGAATTTCAGGTTTCTGCACTCAGGCAGGAAGAACCAGGTGCACAAATATGAGATGGGAGAACATCTGGCTTGGCAGTAGCACATGCGGAAAGGATCTGGGGGGTCTTGGTGGACCACAAGTTGAACAGGAGTCAACAGTGTGATGCAGCAGCAAAAAAGGCCAATGTTATTCTAGGCTGCGGGGACGCTGTGGGTTAAACCACAGAGCCTAGGACTTGCCGATCAGAAGGTCGGCGGTTCGAATCCCCGCGACGGGGTGAGCTCCCATTGCTCGCTCCCTGCTCCTGCCAACCTAGCAGTTTGAAAGCACGTCAAAGTGCAAATAGATAAATAGGTACCACTCCGGCGGGAAGGTAAACGGTGTTTCCGTGAGCTGCTCTGGTTCGCCAGAAGCGGCTTAGTCATGCTGTCCACATGACCCGGAAGCTGTACGCCGGCTCCCTCAGCCAATAAAGCGCGATGAGCGCCACAACCCCGAATTTATATATAGTGGTACCTCGGGTTAAGAACTTAATTTGTTCTGGAGGTCCCTTCTTAACCTGAAACTGTTCTTAACCTGAAGCACCACTTTAGCTAATGGGGCCTCCCGCTGCCGCCCCACGATTTCTGTTCTCATCCTGAAGCAAAGTTCTTAACCCGAGGTACTGTTTCTGGGTTAGTGGAGTCTGTAACCTGAAGCATCTGTAACCTGAAGCGTCTGTAACCCGAGGTACCACTGTATATACCGCCCTATACCGGGATGTCTCTGGGCGGTTCACAGGATAAGAAGTATAAGGAAGTCATAGTCCTACTCTCTTCTGCCTTGGTCAGAGCACACTTGGGAGTCCTGTGTCCAGTTCTGGGCACCCTGGTTTAAAAAGGAAATTGACAAATTGGAACATGTGTGGGGGAAGGCAACCAAGACGATCAAGGACAGGGGTCAGCAAGCTTTTTCAGCCGTGGGCCGGTCCACCGTCCCTCAGCCCTTGTGGGGGGCCGGACTATATTTTGCAGGAAAAAATGAACGAATTCCTGTGCCCCACAAATAACCCAGAGATGCATTTTAAATCAAATAAATGAGTAGAATCCGCGGGCCGGATTGAGAAGGTGATTGGGCCACATCCGGCCCCCGGGCCTTAGGTTGCCTACCCCTGATCGAGGGTCTGGAAACCAAGCCTTATAAGGAACAGTTGAGGGAGCTGGGTATGTTTATCCTGGAGAATCGGAGAGGGGAGATGATAGCCATCTTCAAATACTTTAAGGGCCGCCACATGGAAGGTGGAGCAAAGCTTGTTTTCTCCAGCTCCGGAGCGTAGGACTCGAACCCGTGGTTTCAAGTTACAAGGAAGGAGATTCCGAAAGGAAGAACTTTCTGACAGCAAGAGCTGTTCGGCAGAGTCTCCCTCAGGAGATGGTGGACTCTCCTTCCTTGGGGGT